AGAAGGTCAATGTCACTTGCAGGGTTTGAATAAATTATTTTTGCACGTGATGCGCGCGCTTTTCTTCTGCGAAGTTATGAGAAGCTACCTCGTATTTTTTCATGTATATTATTAATACATAATCACATGATTTCTTCGTGCAATTTGGAATGAATAAGCACTTGTAAATTTTTTCAAAGACCACAAACTGAACTCGCCCTACGGGCTCATGCAATTTTGTTGGTCTTTGAAAAAATTTACTCTTGCTTATTTATTCCAAATTGCACTCGAAATCATGTGATTACCTATACAAATAAGATCAAACCTGAACTTAACAAACAATTACAGCATTATAACACTTTCATAGCATTTTAGTTCACACCTTCATGTTTGTTGTCATTATTAGAAAAAAAAAACCGGTAAGTCTGCACATGTGTAAGACTGACTTGCTTCACTACCAAACCTCCTGGTTGTCCGTGTAATCCTATTGTAGCGTTGGTATCTGGCGCGCTTATAGTATTCCTTCCTGTTCGATTGTTACGGTTATTTAGCAATTAAGCACTTTCAGTTGCCTTTTGTTCTAATGTCAAATGTATATTTGTTTCTCGTGCAGTTTGGGTTCCCTTTTTCCGATTGATACGTTATTATCTCACGCACCTCTGCTTTTCCTTCTTGTCCGACTGTTACGTCAGTATCTCGCACACTATTATTTTTCTTTTCTCCGAGCGTTACGTCACTCTCGTTTCGTTGTTGTCCGATTATTGCGTTAGTTTCTTGTGCACCTATGGTTTTCCATGTTGTTCAATTCTTTCTTTAGTATCCCTAACAACTTAACTTTTCCTCATTGTTCGTTTGCAACGTTAGTATCTTGTGCACTCTTTGTTTTCCTTGTTATTCGATTGTTACGTGTAACTTAACATTTTGGGCACCTTTACCATCTTATAGTTGCGCGATGTTAAGGTGGTATCTTGTCAACTTTTGGTTTTTCTTGTTTACCGATTGTTACATTTTTTTTTTCGTGCACTTTTTGTTTCCCTTGTTGTTTGAGTGTTACCTTACTATCTCATGTACTTAAAGTTTCGTCGTTTTTCGATTGTAACGTTGGTTTGTTGTGATCTTTTGGTTTTGCATGTTGTTCAATTCTTTCTTTAGTATTCCTCGCAATTTTTGTTTTCCTTGTTCGATTGCAACGTTAGAATTTTGTACACTTTTGGTTTCATTTGTTGTCCGATTCTTTCGTGAGAATCTCACGCACGTTTAGTTTTCCTTGTTGTCGGATTGTTTCGTGAGAATCTCGCGCACGTTTAGTTTCCTTTGTTGTCCGATTATTTCGAGAGAATTTCTAGTACTTTTAGTTTCCTTTGTTGTCCGATTGTTTCGTAAAAATCTCCCGCACGTTCAGTTTCCCTTGTCCGATTGTTTCATTAGAGTCCCGTGCACTTTTCGTTTCCTTTGTTGTCCGATCGTTAGAATCTCGCGCACGTTTAGTTTTCCTTGTTGTCCGATTGTTTCGTTAGAATCTCGCGCACGTTCAGTTTTCCTTGTTGTCCGATTGTTTCGTGAGAATCTCGCGCATGTTTAGTTTCCATTGTTGTCCGATTGTTTCGTTAGAATCTCGCGTACGTTTCGTTTTCCTTGTTGTCGGATTGTTTTGTGAGAATCTCGCACTTTTTTGGTTTCCTTTGTTGTCCGATTGTTTTGTTAGAATCTCGCACAATTTTAGTTTCCCTTCTTGTCCGATTTGAACGTTGGTATCTCGTGTACTTGTGATTTTCCTTTGCTACTGAAAAATAATCAGTGTCAGGTTTTTCAGATAAGAAGCTGGTACTGGCTGGGGTGGAACGAATGTAAGTTGTTCGCTCGTTAGTCACTTGGTACATATTTTTTGTGTTTCAAAAGACCTTTACAAACTTTTTATCGTATTTCTAGATTCCTCACAGACTGTTAACATTTCAAGTAAGTTATTTACATGTAGATTTCTGCGTTTATGTAAACATGTTTATTTACTGCTTAAATTGTTCACCTTTCATTCATGGCTGTTTCTGTTTTAAGCTCATTGAAGGTGTGGAAGTATGTGTGATATGTGGACCCAAACCATCACTTTACGATGCTGAAACCAAGGTACAGTGAATACCACACTTTTTACTGAACACGGTTAGTATCTTCATATTATTTCATTTACCTGAGTTACATAAGGTGCTGGGTTTCACTGATGAAAGGTTTAGCAGGGTGACCACCCTTAAGAGTTTTACGTATTAGTTACTTTGTAAAAATGCTAGTTCCAGCCCTGATAACCCAAAATGGTGTAGTACTTTCCTGTGAATCGGGCATAGAAAGTGCATTGTAACTTTGAGCATTACTTTTCAAGACACATGAAATGCTGCGAAAGAGATGAGTCAATGGAGAACATCTCCAAGGAAAGTCATAAGGATAGGCGAGCTTTTACTACCAATTTTAGCTTTGTGTTCTTGCAGTTGTTGAAATTACAAGGTAGACTTAGTCAAAATGTTGTGTGAATGGAATTTTTATGATGCGTGTTTCCAAACATTCCTTATTCTAGAATGCGTATGTAGTTGTAACAGTATTTTGCATTCATAGTTCTTGGACCAGTATTGGAGACTTGCTATTGACACACTGAAATCCAGTCGCAGATCTCATCCGAGAAATCTCCCTGGTGATATGGTACTTGACAGTGGAATCCTAGGGTATTTAACTTGCAACTGTATATGACTACAAACATCTATTGCTGCTGTTACTTTATGTTGGTAGTTTCTTTATGAAAATACAAAGGGAAGACAAGAGAGTCGACCCATTACTTAATAGGAATAGGAAACAAAAATTAAAGCCAACACCCATCAAATGTTTTGCTCACACAAGATTGGTCTATTTACTGCACTTGACTGAATATTCTTCAGCTATCAGAGAATCACTTGGAGAATATTATACACTTAAGGTATGGTCCCTCGGGAAACAGTTAGTTTTGTTTTCCCTCTAGTCCTGATGTTTGCCTCGACTTCGTCTCGAGAAACATCAGGACTCGAGGGAAAACAAAACAAACTAGTTTCCTGAGAGATCTTACATTAAAAGCTTTCATATTGTTATATATTTAGACTTTCCCTTAAACACGAAGGCGCGCTATAAAAGGAGCCTTAGGGTCCCACTGGACCATTTGTCAATCAACCGTCGGGTGATGTAGAACTCTTGAGTCAAGTCAGCTTGAGCTTCAGCTACTCCAAAGCAGTGAACAGTGGGCGCATTCCTCAAAATTGTTCTATGTCTTCATCACAATACAAGAATTTTTGAGATTTTATATAGCGCCTTCGCGCTATATAAAGAAGTCTTCCCTGGGAAGAGCGAGGCTCATTTGTCACTTACTGTTGACGTGTGCGGGTCAAATTCAAATTGATAGACGAACAAAAGGAGCTAATGAGATATCTATTGTTTACTTCCACCAGCATGGTGGCATGAGGTAACGTGCGAACCACCTACTTCGATCTCAAATTTACCGCCACAAATAAAGACAGTTTCCATTAGGAAATACAAATCTCAAAAATTCTTGTATTGTGATGAAGACATACAACAATTTTGAGGAATGCGCCCGCTGTTCACTGCTTTGGAGTAGCTGTAGCTCAAGCTGACTTGACTCTAAGAGTTCTACATCACACGACGATTGATAAATGGTCCAGTGGGACCTAAGACTCCTTTTATAGCGCGCCTTCGTGTTTAAACAATCATATGGCAAAAATATGCTGATTTATGCGGCGCGCGGGCAACAACTGCGCAATTGTATCCCGGTCGGAATACATTTGAATTTAATCAGGGGCACGTGACCAAGAATCAACCAATGAAAGTGCTTGTTTTGAGTGAAAGTCTAGGTATATAACAATGCCAGATGTTTCCCAGTTTCCAAACCTTGTGTGCAATTGTGCAATGAAGATGTTTTCTTTTGACTTTAATATTTAGATTGAAGGAGCATTTTGCTTTTTCTGCAGATGAATAGCCATGCTCGTTTGTGTTTAGTCTTACCAGAAGATAAAATCTAAGCTCAGGTTGTTTCATGTCAAAATGGAGGCTTTTGTTTAACTGAGATGTCTAGGATTTATTTAAAGTGACATTTTTGCAAACCCCGGCAAGGATTTTCTTGTTTGTACCTTTTTAAAGTTCCATTTATCTCTGAAATGACTCTCTGCCTGTGCGTCTGTTGAAGGTTTGTGTTGGTGAACACAGATGAGCGCAAGAGTCTGTCCAGTGTCCATCCATCAGGGGTGCTAACTGGTGTGGATCAAGGAAGTAGCTCGGGTAAGGGTACACCGTTCTTCAAGAAAACTACTCGAAAAAAATTGACCAGGAGCTCTTCATGAGCATTATAAACAAACCAAATTCATGGCAACTTTGAAAAAGATCAAATCAGGAATGTATACTTGAAGCGTGAATACACAAGCGCGTATTGGAAATCTTTGTATTTTTTCTGTCTTCTGTACCCTCCAGTGTATTTTTCAAAACAAACAGATTTTATTTTGCCGTGCGTTTGTTCGCTTACAGTTTATTGACAACATTAGAAAGAAGGAAGAACATCACTAAAGCTCTTGTTCACAATTTCTGCCACTTTGATGTTCTTAAACACTTTAACGTCATCTGTGATCTCTAAACTGGAAAGAAACACACATGAAAATGAATCTGTTTTGTAATCAAGGGACAACAAATTAAGGCAGCTGATGAGTGGTACGTAAATTACTGCTTTGGTACTTCATCGATACAGTTATGATTTTATCAGCGATGAACACGTCCCGGTTTGAAATGATACTTCGTCATCGGCAGAAATTGGGCAAAAGGCAAATTTTTTTTCTCTTGAAAAACTATCAGAATGATCTATTCCCCCCCCCTCCTTTGATTGAATATTGAGCAAAGCTTTACTTCTGTAAAAGAGACTTGCAGTAATTCTCAGTGCAGAGTAAGAGATATTGTTGGAAATTTGTGTGAAACAGTTGTGAATTTTTTTCTCTTTATTTCAAATTTCAATTTCCGACAGTTAAACCAAAAAGATTGAGTTAGCTTTGCTCCTGACTGATTTGATAAAAATGATGTTACATTGTCAAATAATTTACAAACCTTCAATCACCTAATTATTTTTGTGGTCAAAAGGAAGTGGAATGCCTACAGCAAAAAGGAAGTCAATCCTCGTGTCATTTTACAAGTCAGTTGTTGGTACATTATTTCCGGTGCAGGAGCCAAATACCTCTGAACAAGGTAACGTGCAAGTGTACGTTGATAAAAAAGAAGTTATTTATTGTTCATTATGTTATTATCGAGTTAGTACTTGCAGATTCAAGTTATACTGACAACCCTGAACGCAAATGCTGGATCCTTGTACCAAATGTGACCTGATGATGCAAGTTTTCAGTGATTTTAGCTCTCCTAAGCAGTATAGTTGTATCTTAAAGGAGAAGTATGCTCCTGAAATCATGCAAATTTCATTCCCGCCACTGTCACCTATACATAAAATTAAACTGATCTGCTTTGACGTGCTGAAAGTTGAACTAGAGACGCCGCAGTTTTGAATCTTGCCTACCTTCCGTAACCGTTCCTTCCTTTTTTCTTTTTTATTGCTTCTAAGTTAGTTGTAGTTATGCCAGAACTTAAATGGGGCTGCACAAGGATTTGGGAAGAAACTCACTTCGTTTGTCTAGTGCCGCATGAATGCTCGGACAATGTCACCTTTTTAAAGGGATAAAACAGCAGTTCCAGATTAGATCGAGTTAGAGATGGCACTAAGCACTTGTTGTGGAAGTTGAGATCCAGTTTATGAAGGGAGATCTATTACACATGTGTTAAGCTGTTTTAGATCGTTATCAGCTGCCTATTGAATATGATGCAGTTTATTTACACAGACTCGCCCAGTGGTGTGTGTCACCAAGCTATGGAGACTTATATGTGTGCTAGTGATCATAAGTGTTATGCAATCCGTACAGAAACACATGAACTGTTCTTACTGTTTTCGAATGACGTACCAACCTATGCTCTTGGGTAAGTTAAATTTGTGGCTGAAAATGTATCAACCATATATGTATCTATGACGAGCTGAGTTTTACAATCCTTTATAATCGTCAGTTCCATAAATCTCATTTTCAGCTCTCCGTTTGTTTATTGGTTGGTGGAAGATTCACATGTTTGCGGTATCAAACTATAGGTTGTGATAAAACGCAGTGCATAGAAATTAATGGTCTAAAAGTGTGACAAATGCATGAGGAAACATACACAGGCGGCGAATGTGAAATGAAGGTGAAATTTAAATACTTCGCGAGAAATACTTGACACGGAATGCTTTGTGAAGAATTTCGAATGGTGGAAACGTAAACCAGATTGAAATGAATGACTTTTCGGTGAAAGAATTTGGCAATGTCAATAGCAGTGACATAAAGGTTCTGGCAGATTTTAAGGAAATTAACCTTTTCCCCATAAGTCTTAAGGAGCCTAGTAGAGAAACAGTGGCAGAAAGCCTTCGCTCTTGCTGGTTATTCTGGCGAGGGAAACTAAGATAAGTTACAAAAAGTAGGAACTTCTATGTCGACAAGAAATGAGGTTTCCGCTAACGGGCAGAAATCTTAAAATACACACAAGTTGACTAACAACGCACGTAGTTTTTGAATTGAAGCGGTGAATAAACATTTGCCTTGCAGATCTCTAACTAGCACTACACTTGCTCTACTAACCAAAGGCAAGCTGGTATGACCGTCATTAGACATCAGACGTCATCCAATGCAGCCTGTATTGCTGATCAAGGTGAGTCTGCGGGAACTTTGAAGAATCCCGACATGTTTAGCTCTCGATATTACGTTAAAGTTCTTTCTTTACCAACTGCACCCAGTTACCATACCACTTCTTTTACCGAAAACACGTACTCAACAATTAAAACAGTTATAATATAGATTCTTTCACTTTTTTCCCCATCTTTCTTCAAGTGATTGCTTTTGGAATAAATTAAATCCTTAATGAATAGACCACCAATATTTTGCTTGTCCTAACTGATTACTGAGTTGTGTTCATTTTTTTTAGGCTGCTTCAAGCCATCGCAGGGCAGACCAAGTCGTGCACGCTTTCTGCCAGTCGCTCCAAGTTGATTTGGGCCCTGAGTGTGGCGAACGCTCCTGCTAACTGTATCACGTGAACTTCAAATTAATACAGCCGCTAGATGTAAATAGTTGAGTGTAAAGTTCTAGCAGAGCTTCAGCAACATAGCGATTGGTGTAATTTATAGTTTTCATCTCCTTTCCGGGAAAGAATATGTGAGAAACAAATTTGACTCTAATAAAGGCTTCGTAAGAAGCCACCGAATCAAAGAAAGTCTGCCAATGTTTCTTGTTGTCGATGGAGAAGTTATTTATTAATTTTTCTTCGAAGTGAAACTAACCTTATCATCTCTTGGTAAGACGTAGTCATACAAAGAGGTTCACGTAAAAAGGTAAAGTCTGTTTACGAGCCTAGTGGCCCCATTAGGCCGGTGCTTAACTCCGTAGCATGAAGCGACTAGGAGTATTTCTACTCCCCCCTGGATGGGATGCCAGTCCATCGCAGGGTTACCCCCAGCATTATATTACCGGTACCCATTTATACACCTGGGTGAATAGAGGCACTGTGAGAGTAAAGTGTCTTGCCTAAGAACACAACACAATGTCCCGGCCGGGGCTCGAACCCGGACCACTCGATCCAGAGTCGAGCGCACTAACCATGAGGCCACCATGGTAAAATTGACTCAACCGTTCACTCATTTTAATCTGTTAGACAAGTTGTGTATAAAAAATTGGATGAAACTCGTTACTCCTTTACTAAGCTTGCTTCTGTCGCGAGAAGTCGTGCTATTGTGTCATGTTCTTGTTTCTGTGTGTGTGTGTGAGGGAGGGGGGCAGACAAATTTTTGCCCGAGTCCATGAATGAATGAATGAACAAAATTCAAACTGGCATCGTCGGCGAAACTGATGAAGACATAATTAGCAGCTGATTTACTAAGTTTTGAGGCGCGTCTTAACGATTTCATTTCATTTGACCTTTGAAAATTTGATTTTCGCGTATCTGTTTGGCTGCCATTTGGCTATATTTCATCATGTTTTGATGTATCGCAGATTTCATTTGATTTCTCCTTTTTTTTTTATCACACGATTATGAGCTATTTCGCTCCTCAGGCGTGAATCTTGTTAGTCAGAATTTTTACATGCGGTTACATTTTATTACTTGATTGGGCACAGATTGAATTTACAGCATCGATTTGCCCAACATTCTTCGTTATTTTTGTCACTAGCCGTCAATTTATCTGACTTTAAAACAAACTTTGTCTTGAATCCTCGTCTTTTGACTGTTGTTGTTACGGATATAGTTTACGTTTAGCTCACTAATTTTAGAGCTCTGGCTCCGGTTGTTCAAAGGTTGGATAACGCTATCCAGTGGATAGCGTAGCGAGTTTTGCTAGAACTTTTTAAGTGTCAGTCGAAAACTTGCCACCTCAGTTGGTCAGATTGTAAGTGTTGAGGTAAGACCCCACAAACCTGATAAACGCAGGACTCGCCACTTTGGAACGTATATTGAAATTTTGGTGTCAGTCAAACAATAACAAACATCCATTTGAAAAGTAGACCAAAGCTATGTAAATGACTCAATCACTCGACATAATGCACGTGCGGGTATCAAACATGTTACCTTAAGCTAGCAGAAGGAACAAAGTACAGAGTTACCCGTGTTACGTGGATTATTCAATTGATTAGAAAGACGTGTTACAACACCATCCAACTTAAAGGAAGATGCTCTTCATTGAACGAAAAATGCAAGGTCACTTTTACATTCACACAGTACTTACTAACAAGATTAAAAACTGCGCAAGGGCGAACAAATCTCTCACTTAAAATAAAGTTGCAAAATCAGAGTATCACCAGAGCGCCTGTTTCAGGCGAGAATAAAATATAAAAACATCTTGGTTTATTTAAGAGTTCTTTTTCGACAGTCACCTTGTCCCTTAAAGGCCACATATCCGAACCGCACATTTGATATTGGTTGTAACGTGACATCCATTACTCTCACGTCCACTTAGCACTTAGCGTAAGACAGAGCGGAATGATAGGACATGTTTACACTATTAGAATAAACTTATGTTTAATGCTTCGTTGTTCAATGCAACATGGTGCAAAGTTTCTAAAATGTTTGCGAGATTTTTCCAGAAAAAGCAAGTTAAATTTCAAAAAAGTCAAGGAAGAGCTGCTCGCCAGGACGAAAATGTTGCAGAGTTACCATCAACTTGAAAGATACCTAGAAGGACAATACATTTCTTTTTATAGTTGTGTAGAACACCTTCTACTATAGGTCACAGGCGAGTCCTCACACCTACCTGTGACACGTTTTCTACTGGTTTTTTCCTATCTGTTACCTTAAACTAAACAGACACGGCCAGATTTAGACTTTTTGTTGAAAGAATTCGACGCTCGTTGTGTCACAAAAAGAACTCATAAATGTAAGAGTTAAAATATATCGTTGACTGTCCATTCTTCAAGGCACAAAGGACCGTTCCAATCACAAGTAACTCACAAGTAACTCTGAACTTAATCTTAGAATCTCGACACGTGCTAAGAAGAAACTTGCCAATGCCAGTGGCAATGGCATAGATAAAGAAAAATACATGGTTTCCGCAACTCTAGTTTATTTCTCTTATATTTTAATTTGTCCGGAAATAAAAGGATTTCTTACGTTAACAAAGGATTGGGTCTACTAAGTCAGAAAACCACTTCGTAATGATTATTGGTGACCTTTAGATTGAAGTAATATTTCAAAAACGAGTGCAAGTGTTTCATCGGGGTTTCTAAACGCACAAATGTGGCCAAATTGGCGTATCGTGATTGGTTTGTAACTTAATGAATTATTAATGAGTTTGAGAACATTACATCATATACACTCCATTAACATTAACAATTTGGTTACCCGACCCACTGCTACCCTAGTTCACAATTTGTCAATACTCAATTTGTT